TTTTTATATTGTGTTTAGTTCAGTGGTAGAATATTTGGTGAGCATTTCCAAGGCCCTGGGTTTGATCCCCAACATTGCAAAAATAAGTGAAAATAAATAAATGAAATCATGTTACATGTATTAATGTTCACACCTTTACTGAAATTTTTCAGTATCTGTTATCACTAGAGAAATTTGTTATATGTTCTCATTTGAGCACATTTCTTTTACTTGTATCCAGATTGCTTAAGATAGTTTGCTTTTTGAATCTGTGTCTGATGTAGTCAACTGGAAGTTTTATATGATGCAACAAGTACCGTTTGCTGCTTTTGATCATGATTATGATCTCTTAGAATACTGTATTTTTAGAGTGATCTTTAACATGATTATTATGATTCTGACACATATAACTGAGGTCACAAATTTAGGAAACTTCTTTGCCTTTTTAAAAATCTGTTGTTAGGTAATGTCTGTAAGCATCTCAAACTGTCACACCTTGTCCTATAAGAAAGTAATAAGACTTTAAAAGAGTAGAGTATATTATCATAAATGCATTTCCTGAGCCCTTTGCTTATTGTGGATTCACCCAATCCAGGCACTCATTTTTTAGCTTGGGTATTTTGTTTTCTTCATTTGATCATAGAAGGTTGAGAGTCAGTGTGTACACTATTAATAATGCTATATGTATAATGCTATTGGGAAAGCCATGATTCTAAAACTTGTTTTATAGGAAAAGTTTCTTTTAGGTAGTCTCACATCTTCTGAACTTATTTTTGCATGGATATTATATGACTGGAAATTCCCTAATTTATTTTGCCTCTTTACTACAGGGGACAGCAGTTTGCTCAGCAAATACAACAACAGAATCCTGAACTTATAGAGCAACTGAGAAATCACATCCGGAGCAGATCCTTCAGCAGCAGCACTGAAGAACATTCCTGATTTGATCAGAATATAGTCCAGAATATAAATGTTTTATGGCTCCAAAGTATTCACTGTAGATAGTAGCCAAAAACAAAAAACAAAAACAAAAGCACCATATCTGATGTGTGAGAATAATGAAGGAAAACCTCTTGTGTATATTCTTAAAGAATAATTCTGTTTAGATAATAGGTTTATCACAAACAGAGGTGAACATAACAGACTCCTTTGGAAGCAAATGATTAGTAGCCTTGTTAAGTGTCAGTATGGCACTGGAACAAGGTTCCATCCATTTTGAAACTTTTATCATCATATTTGTATATTAGACTTATTAGCAGAGTATATTTATTGAACAGTAGGACTGTTTATTGGTGAGTTCTTTAGCTCTTAATTCCCTTCAGGAAGGATTTTTTTTTTTTTTAAGCAGGAAGATAGGACTAAGTGAAAAAGTATCCTATGCAGGTTGAGAAGAAATATATTTGTTACTTGACAAGCGTGTCAGGAAAAGAACCTTATTACATAGGTTTAGCTTTGATAAGCGCTGTCAATATATGTCATAGGTGTCAGTACTGTCTTTGATGCTGCTGTCTTGATGAGTGACAGGGAGTCTTTAAGAGCTTGTGGAAAGCAGTTATTTGGTACAAGGGATGCTATGAAGAGAAAAAATAATGTGAATTTATATGTAAAGTAAAGGTAGGATGCTCAGGTTTTCTGCATAGTTCTTAAATAATCTTGTCTGCAGTTTAATATCAATAACATTAGCATGGCCAGTTATGATAAGTATATAATAAAATAACACTTAGAAATCCTTATTTATACTGATTAGGTTAGTGATATGTAACTGTTCAACTTAATTACCACAGTTTCCCTGGTGGTAAACTTAGGTTTGAAAATTACCAGATATACCTATATTTAAATAAGCCAATGGCTTGACCCTAAGTTAAGGATTTTCTAAGTGGAATTTAATTATATACTCATAAACATTGATTTTTTTAAAAAAGTAATAATTATTTGATGGATTAAAAAATGCATCTATTAGTAACATTGCTTGTTCATGCAATCCTCTGCTATAATTTGGCTTGGCATGCCAATCTTATGCTTAACCTTAATTTGAGGCAATTTAAATATAACAGGAGACATAACACTTTTTATTATAAATTAGATGCCATATTGGTTGGTAGGGGAAATGCCATTAGGTACTAATGGCATGGTTTTAAGTACAGGGGAAAATAAGACAGGTCTAATTCCAACTGGGATTTTGTTGTTAATCTAGAAATTGGTGAAGTAGGCTAACCTGTAATGATTTTATAAGTGTTATGAGGGAAAACTGAAAAAGAAGGTAATTTAAAAATTTTGTAAAATTGATGCAATAAGGGCCTTACTATAACAGTTCTAAAAAGACTATTTGATACACTGAAGTTTCTCCTTTTTTTCCTCCTTTGTGAGATAAGAACTATGAACCATGGTTTTGTAATTTCAGTGTAATCATCACCTGGGAGAATTCATTATATCTGCAGAATGAGGGCCACACTATCAATTTTTACTTAGTAAATACTGTATTAAGACCTAGGAATCAGCATTTTAAGTAGTGTACCGGTTTAGAGGTAGGTCCAGGAATCAAATTTACAGCGATATTAGATTTCTCCCTATCTAGACCAACAAATACTTATCTACTTGGACTTGGGCCAAAATGAAAAAACTGTGTGAACCTATAGTTAAGGCCAGAGAAGAACAGGCCCTCTGAAATTAAATTTCCTATATTGCATCTAATCCATCTTAATTTTTTACGAAGTTACACACAGCTCCTAGTGTTTGAGTGTTATAAAAGAATGAAGTACTAATCAAACAGGATTTACAGTTGTGATTAAAAAGAACAAAGTCGATCCTTAAAACTAGTCATTCTTATTTCAGTGTTTAATAATAAGTTAATGTTTTTAGCATTCCTATTTTGAGTGCATTAAATATTCTTTTAGATCAATAAAATTTGATAAGCCTGTAGCTGACTATGAAAATAGAATATACAAATTAGTAGTCTATTATCAGAAATTAAAGAGGAGGGCTGGGGATATAGCTTAGTGGCAGAGAGCTTATGGGAAATGGTGGGTTTATACATCTCTAGCACAAAGAGGAAAAAAAAAGCAGATATATCCAAGACCCTGTAGATATAAAAGGGTAATTATAAACACTAACTCTAGATCTATATATTTTACAACTTAGATGAAACAGACATTCTTTCTAAGGTAAAAACTACCAAAGCTCACTGGAGAAACAGCCTGAATAGACCTATATTTTACAAAGTTGAGTTTATAGATAAAAAACCTTCCAAGAAAGAAAACTATGGGCCAGATGACTTTAATGGTGAACTCTACTGAACACATAGGGGAGAAATTAACATCAAATCTACTCATTGTGTTCTAGAGAACAGAAGAGGAAGAAACACTTTCCAACTCATTTTTTATTTTGGCCAGTGGTACCTGGATAACAGAATCAAAGAGAATCATAAGAAAACACTTTAAAACACTGCCTTCATGTGCTAGCATCTGTAGTTAAAGGGAGCCATTCTTTTAATATGAAATTATGGGAACTGGTGTGTTCCATTTCATGCTGTTTCTTTGAGAATATATCACTCAAAACAAATTCAATCCAGATGACACCTGTCCACTTATGTGGATTCCATTCAAGGCAAGCCAGCTTTACTCTTCAGGTCCCTTCATCACTTTGGAATCACTGTATTAGAAGCCATTTCAAGAAAGTTTTGTGTGATTTGATTGTGCTATTTTTAAAATTATAGAGAAAATTATTATTCCTTGTCTGGAAAATATAGTCACTTCTCAGAGAAAAAAAGAGGGCATTAAAGTAAATCTTTATATACAGACATTCTAATAAGGAATGCTTGACTTTCATTACACACATTTCATTGTAATAGCTGTAACCATGCTATAGAAAACAGAACATGTCCTTTTTATGCAAGTTGACATTTTCATTTAATGTACCAAATTGTTAATTTGATTTTTATAAGTTGAACACAGATCCTTTCTAAAATGGCATTATCTAATCTTTACTTAAATAATGTTACTTATAAATAGAAGAGACTGTACTTAAGTCAATGTATACAGCAGATTTAAATTGACTATTATGTTAAAGTTTGAAAGAATGAAACAGGTTCCAGTCATGAGAAGATGCCTGAAGAACAATCAAAGTACCTAGTGCAGTGGCTATAGTCTTATTTCATCATTTGATTAATCTTAAGACATTTTGGAAGAATGAGTACTTCAGTTTTACACTGCTTGCACTTTATTTTGCATAGATATCTCATTAACTCTTATTTGAGGGGCAACTCTTCTGAATATAGCTTTCATTTTGAGCAAAATTTGTCATGGCAATAAATTATGCATTCAAGAAAAACCAATTTTTGTATTTGACTTAATGTACTCTTATATTTAACAAACTACACATTCTTGAATTTCAGCTTGCGAAATAGGATGATTTTATTTAGAAGTATAACCTTTTTTTCCCCTGGCAAAACAATGAAATTTATGTTGCAAAGTGTTTAAAGCCTTATTTCTCTCACTGTTTTTGTTCATGGCATAAATGTGATTACATGGAGAGATAGTTTTATAATATTAATACATGATTTAGAGTTTAAAATCAAATATTAGAAGGTGGGACTCCTTTAAATATGTGTAATGAAAACAGTTCATTTTTCAATGGGAAAAATTTTCAATGAGAAAAATTTTCAATGGGAAAAATCTAGGAGTTTGTAGCTTAGAATTAGGTCATTATTAGGCATTTTAGTGAAAAGTTAAATCAACAACCAACTAAGAAATAAATGAATTTTGATCTGCTGTTCAGTATCTGAAAGTTAGATTTATTTTTATGTATACACGAACACAACACATACCAATACAATGATTTTGAGAATAACTAGAAAAGTTCATACTGTGTTAGCAAATTATCAGGTTACGGGGGACTACCCCATTTGTTTTAAACAATCCTTTCTGTATTGTGAGAATTCTAAAATTCAAAGAAACAACTTTATCTTCCAGATTGAGATCAGCAAACTCACCCACAGGTCAAATCCAGTAAGCTGCCTATTTTCGTAAATACCACTGTGCTTTTTTTTTTTTTTTTTGCCTACAGCTGCTCTTGCACTATATTTGGTATTTTGCCCTTTATTAAAAAAGTTTGCTGACTACTGTTCTAGGTACTTGCTAAAGGACAAATGGCCTCAAATATAGAACTTTTGTAGAACAAAGTCCAAAGGTCACCTAAAATGAAGCAAAGTATAGAAAACATAAAAATGTCCACTTAAGAATATAACTCACAAGATAAAATTTGATTCTTCTCAAAACAAATATTTAATATTTTAATTTTTACAGGAAAGAAAAACAATATATACTTATTTTTTGCTACTGATTTGAACATTTCACAAAAGTGAAAAAAATACAGAAAGCAGTTATGTGAAAACAAATGAAAAAAACATAACACTGGGAATTTCCTTTAGCTTTCCACTTTAACGGCTGAAGATACCACACAGACTTGTGCGATGTCATCGTATTCATATGTTCTCTTTAAGAATGTGTCTGTTATTCTTAAGCCGGAAACACTCTATTGAGAGAAAGATGAAGGCCTCAGTTTTTAATCACTGATAATTATTAGAGAAAATATATGGCTATAATAAATGACTATAAATTAGCCCTCATACACTTGAAATCATTGAAAAGAGAACATACTTGTAGTCCCTGTACCGAAGACAGCAGAGTAAGGGCAAGGCAGAGAGAAGAACTTGGATGCAGCTTTCCAAGCTGTCTTCCTGAAATACCACACCAATGGATAGAACTGGTATTACACATTTCCAAAACCAGATCCATCGTCCTTTCACTGCTGGGGGAATCAGAAAAACAGGAATAAATCTTGTTCATTTCACATGGAGATATTAGTATTTCTCCTTTATTTATTTTTCCTTTTTAGTAAATTTGCTTTCTGGGTATGCAGGAGAACAAAACAAAGAGAAATGAAAAGCTATTTATCATTTTTATGTTAAGAGAGTCAAGAAAATGAAAGGAGATGGCATATTCTGAGGCTTAAAATGGCTTTAACCTAATCTGCCTCTGGAAATCAGTTTTCTGGTTCTATTGTTGAACACTGGTTCCCTAGTGCTAATTTGTTAATGACTGCCATTTCTCTGGGAAACTTCTGTGCCTCGTGTTGTTTCACAGTACTCTTATTATTTCTATTACAGGAAAGAAAATGAGAAACAGAGTCTGGTCTAGTGCTTTTGAAAACCGATCTGTTCCTTTAGCATGCATACAACTTAGAAAAATGACAAGATTCATAAGAAGTAAATACTATTCATGCTTGCTTACGGTTTTATTTACTATGAAAAGACGTCACTAGGTCATCTAGCAAAAGTATGACAAAAAGCTCACAATGAAAGACAGTCTCCTATACCGCCATTCATGGCTGCTTTCAATTCTTACCCCTTCCCATAGTTGGATCCATATTTTAAAATACTTATTTAAATTTTAGTTTATTCATTTTTTAGACATATTGACTTGATAACATTAACTTTTATAGTCTCTATTCCCTAACATTTTAAATACTATATGTCAGAAACTAGGTTCGATGTATTACATAAATTTCCTCATTAAATTCCATAAGCACCCAGTAAGGTTTGTACATACTGTATGTATGTTCTCTGTGTTTATTGTATGTATGTGGGGGAGGGGATCATATTTTTATAGATGAGGCAGCTGAAGATCTAAGTGCCTTTAGAAAACTTATTTGAATCATGAAGACTTAAAGTGAAGGTCAAAAAATAAATTAACTTTCAAACTTTTACACTGCCAGTTATAAACTGATTTGCTTACACCTTGAAAAAACAAAAAAAATTCTCTAACATACCTGTTAGGCACAGTTATTTACCTTGGGTGCCTTGCTATTTACTGAGCTCTTATGATGTGGCAGAAACTGCATTTATAAAGTGGGTAAGACAACTTTTCTTAACTCACAAATCATTAAGGAAGAAACTAAGTTATTTGTAAGGGTTCCTAAAAAACTAAAGTAGAATTTACAATGGCAGAGAACCATGATTAACTATGCTTGGGAAAATCTAGGTAACTTCATAGAGGAAATAGCGTTATTATTTCTGAATTTAATCCATAACATATTCTTTTCTCATTCTTATTTCACGTATTTGTTGAATATATGAATATTTTCCATTTCACTAATAGCAAAAAGCTAGAACAGATACGGAATTAAAGGATTATATATTCAAACTATAGAGGTCGGGATTCAACATTTGCAATACTATCAAATTACCCCAACAAATCAGACACATCAAATAGTAATATGAGTACTTGCAAAAGTGAAAGGATTGGGATTTAAATTATTATTATTATTTTCACTTCAAAGCCCTGTGTTCTTTGCCTCTCAAGAGCTACATTTTCTTCTCTATTATCAAAACTGTTTTTCCAACCTATGATTATCCCTTATATTATATTCATAACCAAGTTTTGCTTTCTTAATACTAAAGATATAGCTCAAGTGTATGTTTCAGAAAACCCTACCTTAATATTTTATCCCTGTAAAATTCCATGAGAACCCATAGTTCATGCTTTAGTAATTTGAAGTGTGAAGAAAATTTAAACAGTGAAAAGAACATGGACTTTGAAGTCAAATACATCTGGTTTCAAACCCTGGTCCCATCTATTCTAACTCTGAATTTGAAAAATTCAACCTCTGAGTTGGCTTTCTTTTCTGTGCACAAAGGGTATGTTAGGGATTTTTTTTTTTTTTTTGGCAAGGTGTAAATGTAAACAATTAATATCCACCCACCTAGTGTTATGATGAATGAATGAAAAATACAGGAAATGCATAATACAATAGGATCTCAAAGATATGTAATATACTACTAAAAGATGAAGATCTTCACAGTATTTGACATAAACATCAGAAAGTCTACATGTCAAGAGGAAACTTAAAAAGGAGACTGATTTTTTTTTTAGAGAGAAAGAGAGAGAGAGAGAGAGAGAGAGAGAGAGAGAGAATTTTTAATATTTATTTTTTAGTTCTCGGCAGACACAACATCGTTGTTTGTATGTGGTGCTGAGGCTCGAACCCAGGCCGCACGCATGCCAGGAGAGCGCTACCGCTTGAGCCACATCCCCAGCCCCAGGAGACTGAATATTTAAGAGAGCAAAAATTTTCTTTTAGATAGGGGAGAAGGAAAGGACACCCAACTACAAATATTGGCATTACCTGCAGTTAGTTATTTTACAGGTAATATGAAAAGGTTCTTCTAGGTTTACAGTATCTGGGATTGCCTCCAAAGACAACCGAACATCTCCATAACCTGGAGCCTTAACAGAACAAGCAACACAGTTAAAATATATCTATTACAAAGCTTTTCAATTTTCACAAAGGTATCATACCAGCACATTTACTCGACAGAGGTTGGGACTCTAAGCTGATGTTCAGAGAAAACACTCCTAATTCATTCTATTGTTCCCTTACTTTAACTACTTTTGGTGCTGTGGAACAGCTCTGCAGAACTGGACTGTTCTTGTCATAATTAATCCAGGTTCATCAGAGTTAAGATGAATCCTAAAGGTAAATAATCAGTAAAGAAATTTCAGGACACCTGACTTCAAAGGAATGTTTTTCAATGTTTATGTAGTTTCAGCCTACATAACTCTAAATAGGCAAGGTTACCACCTGAAAAAATAAACTTTGAAATAAGCCAGGTAGAAAATCACATCTTTTCCCAAAACACCTGAGCAAGAAAGGGGTATAAAAACATCAAGGCTTGAAACATGTGATGTCAAGATGGAAACTAATTGCTACAGCTTAAAATAGGCTCAGTGACCATAATCATCATTTAAAAAATTATTGCCTCAAACAGTGAAATAAAAGTAAATTTTAGGTAATGTCAGATTAGGAAATAGCATAAAGGAAGGCTCCTGTGGCAAATTCTCACTAGCAAAAAAAAAAAAAAAAAAAAAAGAAAAAGAAAAAAAAAATTACCAGACTGGTAACTATCTGTATTCTCGTATAGAACTTAGATAAAACATCCAACCAATGCTTACAAGATGACTTTAATGTGATTCACCTGAGTTTCTGATGCCTCAGATTTTTAACATCTTAAAAAAGAAGTACAGACTAAGTAGGTGTATGCAGAAAGCGCAAGAATTTCAGGACATTACAAAAAATAATAATAATAAAGTCAAAAACAAATGGTGAACATGAATTACCAAAGGAAGGAACAATTGATAAGCAGTTTTTTTAATGTTTGGTAAAGTTAAAAAAAAAAAAAGGTCATGTGTTAAAGGTAAATTAATACGCACATATCACTCATCTCCATACTAGTTTTCTCCTTAAAAATAAATTAAACTATTAGTCTTTTCTTTAGTAATATTAGTACCTCTTATAGTACTCTGACTTCAAGTGATAGACCTAAGTAAACTTAAATTGTTCTAACTTCTTGTTGCCTCTGCCTCTCCCCAAAACCTCCACTGAAGTTATTTCCAGACTCACCATTCTCTGAAGTTGGCTGGTTTGTAATCTTCCCCTTTCACCAAGGTTTGTTTTCCATACAATATCCAATTTTCCAATTACTGTAACTCCCTTAATGATACCCGCTTTTTCTGCAAACTCCTTCTTGGGCTTTAGGCAGTATAAGTACTGGCGTGTATCCATTGGCTGCAAATATGCTCTTGACCCAAATGTTGATAAACTGAGAGGGGTAGAGATAAAGATGGAGAAAATTCTGTAACATCTTTTAAAAGAAAAGCCATGGCTGTGATTGTTCTTTTGGTTTATGATAGGAACTGGATGATTTACCACTCAAAGATTTAGAATAGAAGAGGTCAGTGGTTTCAACACAAAAAGTATACATACATTTATTTTACTTTATACATTTATTTTAATATTTTTAAATCAACATGGAAAATCTTGAGATTATTTACAATGAAATGAATATATTACCTAAAATACTGGACCTGTAGCGAGGCGCAGTGGCGCATACCTATAATCCTAGTGGCTCAGGAGGCTGAGGCAGGAGGATGGCAAGTTTAAAGCCAGCCTCAGCATTTAGCAAGGCCCTAGGCAACTCAGTGAGATCCTGCCTCTAAATAAAACACAAAAATAGGGCTGGGGATGTGGCTCGGTGGTTGAATGCCCCTGAGTTCAATGCTGAGTACCAAAATAAAACAACAACAAAAAACCTGGACATGTATCAACTGACTGAAAAAAAAAATGCAATAGAATTAAGAGTATCCCTTTTTCTAAAATTATCAAAGAAAATAGTTTAGAAACTTTCCCCTCCCCGATCTTGATGGGATTGAACCCAGGGTTTTGCACATGTTAGACAAGCACTCTACCACAGAGCTATTTCCACAGCCCTGAGTCCTAAGACATACTACCTCTCCACTTTTTTGGTACCAGGGATTAAACCAAGAATGCTTTGCCTCTGAGCTGCAGCCCCAGCCTTTTTCATTTTGAGCCTTGCTAAGCTGGCCTTGAACTTGTGATTCTCCTGCATTAGCTTCCCAAGTTGCTAGGATTATAGGTGTGCACCACTGTATCTGGCTGAGACATACTATTCTAAACTAGGTAATCGTTTTCAAAATGAATTAAAAGATCTGGAAAAGATTGGGAAAAAAACTGTTTTCCTCATGCAAAGGAGGCTATGAATTTTTCTATGTGTAACCACCACAACTGTATAAAGAAAACTTCTCATTAGGAAAATCACATATTTTCCCCACCTAAAAACTCCTTGCCTGCATCAATATCAATCCTACATTTGTTTCTTTCTCTTCTACATTAGCTGTAGAAGGATATATGTATTTCTTTTTCACAAAATAATTAAAATCATTTATTCCTATATCCACCTTATTATGTTCAGAGTGTTTTCTTTTTCAAACTCATAATCACACTAATTTTTGCTTTCTAACTACTTCTCCACCATTCCTTCCCATGTATTAGTTTTATGACTTGCAGGATAACAATGACAGGTTTCAGGATTACCTTGTTGAATTATGAGAATTAAAAGTGCTTTGAACAAAAATGCAAAAGGACTAGGATCTTTATTTTTATGTGGAGGGAGGGATGAATAGATACAGCATAGGATATTTTTAGGAAAGTCAAATTGTTTTTTATAATACAGTAGTGGTAGACACATGCCATTATATATTTGCCAAAACCAATATCATGTATAGTACATAGAATGAATTCTTATGTAAACTATGGACTTTAGTTACTACTAGGTATCTGTACTGGTCCACATTACTTATATTAATGTGTCACAGGGAGAGCCCTGCACAGTGATTTATGTCAGTAGATACGGCTATTTAAAATGCTACAGCAGGAGGATGGCTTAAGTCCAGAGATATGAGGCCAGAATGAGCAAGATCCTGTTTCTTAAATAAATAGAAAATAAAAGGGTAGGGTGGGTGGGAAGTGAGAGGTGTGTGTGAGACAATATGTGTGAACTCTCCTATTAATTATTTTTGTGTACCTAAAAAACTCCAAGAATAAAGTGTATTAATTATTTAAAAAACAATTCAAGAGTAATAGATGTTAAAAAAGCATGAATCTTTCAAGACAGGAATGAACATTTCATAATTCATATTTACCATTCTCCAGCTTGGTTGACAGAATTTAATTCTGTTACATTATACATTATAGATGGCTCCAATGAAACTTTCTCCATAAACATGGGTGAGGTTGTAATATTCTGAATCTGAGCTTCAAGAAATACTTCATCAGTCTGAGGATATGAAAGAAAATATCCACCAAAATGTGATGCTATTTAAAATATTTACCAACAAAAATATCTTTATGTATATGAAGAAAATATAAACCACAAATGTGATTAGTTCATGCCTGCAAATTAAAGTTATCATAATTAATACAAGAAACCTTCATCCTAACATAATTAACAGGGGCGAAGTCAAGTGTTAGTCAACTGATACCCTGTCAAACAATGGATATGGGATAATTAGGAAATATTTTGTATTACCATCCAAAAATATTTATTTAACTGGAATTTCATTCACAAAAATTCTCAATCTGCTAATAAGATATTTAAATGTTAAAATGAATGTTAGTATGATGAATATGACTATATAGTAAGATAACTAGGCTTTATTATATTATTCCAGCATAATATAATTTCAATTATATTACATCAGTTTAGATAGTCTAGTGACCACTATTACCAGGAATAATCCATTTTATAATATTATAGGACTCAACTTTATAAAATTAAGAAATTTGTAGGTGGTCATTAGTGATTTCTTAATTCATTAAAAATGTATATTTAGGGAAAAAAAAGGAAAGAAATATGTGAATTATGCCAAATAATCTTAGCTTTTAAATCTGGTAAAAGTATTTTATAGCCTTAGTGACAGATTTGAAGACTGATGTTATTCAGTAATATTGTAGTCAATAGGCAATTTAAATACTTAATTTTACACATATTTTAATTCCCTAATTTATGGAAAAATGCTTACTTTTATGCCATTTGGTTATTTTTCTCTGTGTAATTGAAAAATAAGAGACTAATTTGGTTTATCTTTGAAACAGACTAATATGATAAATTATATACTAAGGGTATTCAAGAATTATTTTTTCAAAAATTTAATAATAATATGTATACACACACAGAAAAATAACATGTGAATTCTGACCAAAATAATTTCACACTTCTGAGGTTTTTTTTAACACTAAAGCCAGGAAAATGGAAATCATTTGCAAAAATATCATGATGAAGTTATAAATAAAACAAATTCTTTAGTCTGTGGGAATTATGCTCAAATAAAAATATAAATACAATGATTTATCAAAACAATGCACCACTTAAGGGCATTATCTGTTACTTTTTGTAAAAAAAAAATTAAATATATCCCATAAATCCATTGCTTTTTAAAAATAACCACAGACCCATATTTCAATTTAAAAAATGCAATTTTTGCATAAATTTAGGAAGAGTTTAGGTAAAATTAAAGAAAAACAAGCAGCATAATGGAAAATCAAGTTAGTTTGAACAGTTAGTATAAAGTAATTTGACATTTGAAAAATTAAGAATAAAGTGCTAAGGCTGTTGATGTTACTACATATAGAATGTGATATAAGCAAATGCTGCTTATTATGAATAGAAAATTGAAAAAATTATTTTATCCAACTTGGAAAAATTTACTTTTCTTCTGCTTAAAGGCCATTTTTACCTGACCCAGACTTAAAACAAAAAAACACTGTACATCAGAAAATGAATTTCAATTGTATAGTCTACTTAAAGGATTGAAGAATAGTAAGGTATTCTAATGTATTGAAAATCCCAGAATTATTTTAAACAAGATTAACATGCCTTTAAGAAAATAATAAAACCTAAACAAGAAACATTAAAAATGCCAATGTTTCAATATAACAATTTAACCTCTTATATTTTCCTGCAAAATAAGACAATTGATATAAAAAGTACATTCAAAATACATGTCTTTCTGAAATGACACAGGCGTTGTTCACAACTAACTGTTTTTCCACTATGTTTTGTAAAGAGGGATTAATTAGGCAGAGTCAAAAGGTGGTGAGTAAGAAAAGCATAAGTTTATAATAAAAAATCAAATTACCACAGAACTGAGGTCACTCTAATGGAAAAATAAAAAAGAAAAATTAGAGTTAAATGTTAAAGAAAAAGAATAACTTTAAAATAAAATGCATCTTTGCATTTTTTAACTTACTAAACAAGACAGCATTAGTAAACAAGAAAGTAAATAGGAAGCAACATAAATATGACAAACTTCTAAAAAGATGAAACTGCTAAGGTTACATGACAATGGAATAGAGAAGAACACTATGACTCAATATTAAACAGAAGCAAATATCGTTAAGGGCACATTTGGGGGCAGAGAGGTACATCCCCATGCTTTTCTAGTTCTATAAATTCTTTACATACTTTTTATGTAATTTTTAGTAGACACTTAGGATGAGTAAATACTGAACTCTGTATTCAGCATAGATTTACAATGTACAGCTTCTCCTGAATTTATCTAATAATGGAATCCTTCTTAAAATAAATATCTTGGGTGATTAGAGCCCAATGAATCACATTTCAGGAAATGATGGCAGCTTATACCACTCCAGACAATTGGGAGTTTGTTCTCCTCTTGCTTACAGATTTCAGTCTTTTAAAAATCTGTATTTTTAAGCTACTTATTCACCAAATGTCATGTCCTTTCATTAAATGTGTATCCAGCGATCATTCTTCATCTACCTCTATGTTCCCAGAGCATAAGCATACTTCATGAATGGGGTGGGGTATGTGGGAGAGGCATTTATATTGTAAACATGTCGGTGTCCTCCATGAGATGCAAGTTCTCTGAGAATTGGGAAGATGTTCAGTTTGTATTTTTTTCTCTTTTGTACCTAGTATGGGGCTCCTTGTAACCAGCAGGTGACCAAATGTTTAAATCCTAGCTTTTAATCTCACCAATATTCTTTCAAGGTTTTCCTATCTTAAGACTACAACAAAATTTTTCATATGACTTGTTTTCCTTTAGGTGATTCACATATTAGCATTATCAGAAACAGCTTTAAAAGAATGCTTGATACACACACGTGGAGCTAATAATAGTCAATGCACAAAGACTAGAGCACAGAGTAATAAGCAACACCTATTGATAATGGTATGGTTTACTAACTCCAAAGTCAGGGTCAGCAGAATCTGCCTCATTCTATTGACTGAACAGTATTTGTTTTCCTAACAAGTAACACTGAAAATTTTAAGAGACCCTAAATGATATTTATTCATTCTTGGTTGTTAAAAAAATATCTATTTTCAAAAGTTCAAATTTTCACTAAATATTTTTTAGCTTAAGTTTGTTGGCAAAACTAAAAGATTATGCTTATATATATATGTTAACTGAAAAAGGCAGCAAATAAATTACTGTGATTATCAAAACAGCATAGATTAAAAGAGAATGTAAGTTAATGAAAAAATATTACTCGGTGTGGTAAAATATGGATTGTTTTCCTTCATGGGGAGCATTCACTTGTATAATATTTACACAATAACTAGCTATTGGAAAAATTACTTGCAAATCACTGAATATCAGTGTCAAAAGACTACTTGACAGGGCTGGGGATATAGCTCAGTAGAGTGCTTGCCTCACGTGCACCAGGCTCTGGGTTTAATCCCCAACACCTCACACACACACAAAGACTACTAGACAAATATTTTAAAGTAAAACATTAAATTTTTTTTTATAGTTGTAGATTGACAGCATGCGTTTATTTTATTTATTTTTGTATGTGGTGCTAAGATCGAACCCAGTGCCTCACACATACCAGGCAAGTGCTCTGCCACTGAGTCACAGCCTCACCCCATGTAAAACATTTATAACAAAGAAAACCTAAAATATGTTTAATATGTTCTTCCTAGTAGCCAATCAAAAAAAAAAAAAACCTCTTACTACCCCATTTGTTTTTTAAAATTTCTAACATATCTATTCTAGCAAATCCCTCATACTATGAAAACTTTTCCAGCAAAATGATAGACTATTCAAAATTCACCAAACTGAATAGCTATGCTCAATAGTATGCTACTGATAACAAAAACAAAACAAAACAAAACATGGAATAAATATGTAATATCCCAATTTGCTAATCTCCAAAGAGAAATGTTAACTGGTAATCACCTTGATGAGGTTAAACCTTTTCCATTAAATACATACCCTCTTTACCATGTACTTAATATCCTATGTCCATTGGTAACTGCTTGGAATCCCTTCACTGCTTTGACATATGTCTGTTCCCAACAACCATTTCTTCCAGACTTTAGTTCCCCTTTTCTTCCAAAAAGCTTCTTTTCAGACTATTCCAAGTTCTCAACCCAAGTGCTTATAGCACATGTTTATACAATTCTCATTTTAGATTTACTATGTACTATTTAGGAAGATTGGTTATTACATGTATTTTTCTTCTTCTTCTTTTCTCCTAATAGGCCTTTGCAGCAGGTTAGGGTCCTTAACTTTGACAGGAAAGCAATTTAAACGCTATATTGAGTAATTCAAATGGTGTATTGAGTAAAATCTCCAGTGTTTCTGGTAAAAATACATATCAAACTTAACATGACTGCAAATGTCTGATCATCATCTGGTTTTAAAGTAATTAATAGACATAATCTGCATTTTAAACTACTATATATATATATATATATATATAATTTATCTATTTCTTTTTGGTACTGGGGATTGAACCCAGGGGTATTTTATCACTGAGCTACATCCCCAGCCCTTTTTATTTTGAGACAAAGTCTACCTAAATTGCTTAGAACCTAAGTTGCTGGGCTGGCTTCAAACTAGGGATCCGCCTGTTTTCTGAGTTACTAAGAATATGTGTTTTTGCCACCAGACCCTGGCTGGATATTTCTGAATTTATCACTGATAAATTCAGTGAGGTAAAAGGGCTGTCAAGAGACTTTTGTACAGCTCTAGAAGCTACAGTAGAATTCCTTGGGGGAAAAATCCACACAATAAATCCTTTCACATATGGCAAAGTCTATTTTCTCTCTTTTGTTAGGCTACAACATAGATTATTTTTTATTCTAAGTGTTAACTACTTTCTCTATTTTTGCCAAACTCAGTTGTCCTAAGGAGCTTTTCAAGCCATTCAGCAGACTCAGCAACCCAACTCTGGCTGGCACACTGACTTTCCAGGGAAGAATTTAATGTGCTGTGTTTTACTTGTCAATATTTTCCCACAGAAATATTAAATCTAGATCTACTATTTCAATTTTTGTAATGTCCAGAACCACACTATTAAGTATTCTATAGATTGTTAGCATTTTTAAGCAATAGCAATACCATTAAATGGAATTTTATAGCAGTCACTTAATGAAGGGGTGAAGGTCTTACAGAATTAATTATGAGATTAGAAATCAAGAAACATTGCTTACATGCAGGCTGAAACAGCAGATTAAGAGACCTATCATTGAAATTTAAATTTTAATTGAAATTTATGCTCATTTTTCACAAATAATTTAGTCTTACCAACAATTTAAAGTAAAAAGAAATGCAATAACTTCATGTTTCCAATGTTATTTTAATGATTAATTTGAAATCCCATTAGGTGTCCAACACTTACCTCTGCATTGTAAAATTTGGTTTTCACATCCAATGGTTTGAGAACCTGGTTACATAAAGCATATTAATTAGGAAATTCTTATCATTTGAGTATTTTTGTTTGTTTTAAATTACAGGATTTACACTTGTCAAAGCCATTTCCCATCTGAATTGTTAAAAGACTTCTTAGTAGGTAAGCAATATTCTTGGGAAAAAAAAAAATCCCCAATGTATTTTTTTGAAAGGTTACCATTATTTCTTGACAGATAATGATATGGCTGTTTACTTCAAAACATTTTGTTAAATCAAAAATATATTTTAGGGCTGAGGTTGTGGTTCAGCAGTAGGGCGCTCGGCTAGCACATGTGAGGCCCTGGGTTTGAACTTCAGCACCACATAACAATTAATAAAATAAAGGTATTCAAAAAAATAATAAATTGCTTTAAAAAAACATATCTTAAGGGCTGGGATTTTGGCTTAGTGGCAGAGCGCTTGCCTCTCACATGTGAGGCATAAAAATAAATAAATAAAAAATATTGTGTCCATCTATAACTAAAAAAATGTAAAAAAACGATTTTATGTACTGTACATTTTAATATTATATATAACAAAAACCATAAAAAAGCAATTGAAACTTTTAATTTTCTTTTAAAAGGCATGCAAGTTATTGATGTAGTAAAACAATGACAAAATAGTTTTTCTAGCAATAGTATTTTTTCTTGCAATTATAGAGGAATAAAAAAATACAAACCATCATATCTACACCTGCACTTAAATATCTATTAGTGATATTTTCATTTCACCATCCACACATATGTGTTAAACTGTAGTTTTTATCTATTTTTGGAGGTCGTTGAAAGTTTTGTCTTAATACAATATTGTACTTAAAATTCCAGTGATTCATGAACCCCTTGAAGGAAGGTTGATCCACTCACCTCAAGTGAATAATCTCTCATTTAAATATTCCTTTAGAAATTTAACACTACTCACACTCATCGCATGTGGACTTGACTCTTAACTTATCCCTCTTTTAGATTCTTCTGTGTTTTTCCAAGACATGAAAACAAGCTATTTTTCTTTGGAAAAAATCTCTTTCATTATAATAACACTACACTGGCAATACTAATTTCTCTGCCTTTATTCTACTTAATTTGGTCTGACTTCAGATTAGCAGTAACACAACAAACCCAAGAAGTGAAATATTTATTTGAAGCTTATTTTCTCTCCAGATAAGTAGAATTACTATACTTCTAGGAAGATAAAAAGTACCTAAAAAGTAATTTATCATTGTCATACTCAATACCTGAAATTTGAAGAACTTTCTAAAGTACATTTTTTCTCCACCCTGAGTTGTATAACTCACAGCACACACCAGGCTGAAAAAAAAATATGTTTTAATGGTATAGAAAATTTTATCTTATTTCTTAATAGTAAATCTAACACACTTCAATTCTACTTTACAAATATGAAAAACATTTATATCTGTAGTGTGAAACTGTAGCCAAATGAAATTAGAGCAGGAAAATAAAAAAGTTCTAGCAGATGTGGATATAAATATATGAGCAAGAAAGCTCTGATTAATAAAGGGAAACAGCATTTTTGGGGAAGGAAGTCAAACACTTTTTCTTGGAAACGTGAAATATATTCTAAAACAAATCTCAGAATAGTCCTACACTTGAAAGTAAAAGATTAAATTCATATAAACTAGAAACAAAAGAATTTTCAAAGAAATTCTAGGATAGACATTTTAACATAAATGGTTTTAAATGAAATAAATAAAAAATGCTAAAACAAACACAATAAAGAGAGGGAGGGAAGAATAGAAATTTACCGTATTAGACAAAGGGGAATGAAGGGAAGGGGGGGAGATGGGAATAGGAAGGGACAGTAAAATGAACTGGACATAATTTTCTTATGTTCACATATGAATACAGGACCTGTGTAACCCCACATCATGTACAACCACAAGAATGGGAAGTTACACTCCATGTATGTATGTCAAAATACACTCCACTCTGAGTTGTATAACTCACAGAACATATCAGGCTGAAAAAAAATTTTTTTTAATGGAATAGAAAAATTTCTCATGTATATATAAATGAACAAATGAAAACAACCAAACAAAAACCACTAAAACAATGAAAGAAGAGACAACAACTTGGGATAAAATATTTATAAAAATATATGAAGATGATTAGAATGTTAATACACAAAGGGTTGTTTTAAGTGAATAAGCAAAACATTATCTCAGAATATGAGAAAAGGCACATAGATATATTGGCTAACAAAAATATAAAAATGTTTAAAATGTAAAAATAGTTAAACAAAACAACGATATATATTTTTAAACTATCATGATTTAGCAAGAATTCTTTATAAGTAATATCAGGTCTGGTGAGGGTTTATAGGGACACAATACATTCATTTATTTATCTATTTATCTATTTATCTATCTATTTATCTATTTATCTATTTATCTATTTATCTATTTATCTATTTATCTATTTATCTATTTATCTATTTATCTATTTATCTATTTATTTATTTATTTATTTATTTAATGTGGTATTGAGGATCAAACCCAGTGCCTCACATCTAGGCAAGTGCTCTACCACTGAGCTATAGTCACACCCCCAAAACATTATAGTCACACCCCCAAAACATAGTCTTTTAATGACTGCATTGGAAGGCTATGCTTTGTTTAACCTAATGTTGGTCATTTAAATTGTTATCAGTTTTTCACTGATGAATAACATAGTATTTAGTACTTTAATATTTCCTTATGATTACCCAAGGTGTGTTTATATTGGAACATATAAGCATTTTTAAGGCTCTTTACCCACAGATTGTTTTCTAAGTTCCTTACAACTACCATAAGACTGCTAGAACTAATAAAGAAATACAGCAAAGTAGCAGGTTACAAAATCAGTGTACGAAAATCAATAGCTTTCCTATACATCAGCAATGACTCTGCTGAGAAAGAAATGGGGGAAAAAAGCAATCCCATTCTCAGCCTAAAAAGAAAAAAAAACTATGAACAAAATCTAACCAAGGAGATAAAAGACTTCTACAATGAAAACTACAGAACACTGAAGAAAGAAATTGAAGGAGACACAAAAAGAATGAAACTAGATTGTTTCTCCTCCTGTACAAAATTCACTCAAAATGGATCCCCTCACAACCTCTTATATGTAATTTTGTGTAACAATGAGGGTCTCCTTCCATTTCCATGCAATTTCCCTTTTCTCTCCCTTTCCCTCCCACCTCATGACTCTATTTAATGTTAATCTTTTCCTCCTGCTCTTCCTCCCTGCTCTGTTCTTGGTTGCTCTCATTA